CCCGGGGGGGGGGGGGGGGGGTTCCAGCTCCCAGTTCTTAGACCTTTTAACATATTCATTTTCCTCTGGGGATTAACTTTGAATATGCAGTCTTTGGGTTTTAATAAATTTTTGGTTTAGTATGGCAGAGACGTGACTCAACTCTGTGGGAGAAGAGTGGTGGAGGGGAAGTGTTCGAGCTGACACGTGGGACTGCTGGGGAGGGGGAGGGATGGCCCCAGCCTCCCCCAGCGCTGAGTTCTGCCCCTGACGCTCTGGTTCCTTTCCTAGTGAAGGTGACTCTAGATCCAGACACAGCTCATCCCAACCTCATCCTGTCTGAGGATCGCAGAAGTGTGAGACGAGGAACCACACGGCAAGTTCTGGCCTACAATCCTGAGAGATTTTATCCCATTCACTGTGTGCTGGGCTGCGAGGTCTTCACCTCCGGAAGATACTGCTGGGAGGTGGAGGTCGGAGAATGTGGATCCTGGGCTTTTGGTGTGGCTCGAGAGTCTGTGAGCAGGAGGAGAGAAATCGACTTTAACCCTGAAGAAGGGATCTGGGCCGTGGGACAGTGGGGAGGGCTATATTTTGCTCTTGCCTCTCCTCGCACCTCCTTGCCCTTGAGCTGGTTTCCCAAGAAGATCAGAGTTTACGTAGACTGTGAAGGAGGCCAAGTGTCATTTTTTGATGCTGATACCGAGGCCCTGATCTTTGCTTTCCCACCAGCCCCTTTCACTGGGGAGAGAATCTGCCCCTGGTTCTGGCTGGGGAAGGGGTCACGGCTTGACCTCTGCCCCCAGTAAGTATCCCAGTTCAGACCCTTAAGTAATCTCCTCTAACCTCTGAGATCCCATCTCTGTGTTCCTGGAGACAAAAATGCGTTTCTGACCCCTGTGAACAAGAGAGAAGAATGAGATGAGGCTAGATAAGGGTAAGGCCAAACTCTTCGTTACTTCTCTCTGAGAGTCTGGAAGCCGCTAAAGATACTGCGGTGAAGTGGGGGAGTGTAGGAGGTGGAGAAGAGGAACCTTTTAGCCGGGGCAGGGGGGAAAAAATTAGTCTCTATATCTGAGTGTTTTCTTAAGTCAATAAATGTTCCTTTTTGTGACTCTCACAATGATTGGGAATTTTTTGTGAATGAACTTCATATTTTTAGAGCTATAAAGACCTTGAATTGCAATGCTTTTGTGGCTTATGAAGGACTTTATTTTCTAGAGAAAATTAAATAGAAATAGAAATTATCTAGCTGTTTATTAGTAACTTTGATGGCAAGTAAGCAGAAAAGAGGTAAAATTGCACCTTTTTATATGGCTGTATTTTAGACAAAGGTGTGTTGGGAGTTGGAGGTTTTCATAAAATAATGGTGAAAAACAAGTCTGAATGTGTGCATCTGTATCTTACATCTGGGCATTTGTTCTACACCCACAGGATGGCATGTGTGTGTGTACGCGCGCGCGTGTGGTTTGTTTGGCATAAAATGGCAAACAAACCCCACTAGAAATCATAAAATCACATCTTACATTGCACCAGTGCCAGTGAGGCTCAATGCCTGTGATGTTGTACTCAGATCCAGAGCAGTCCCTATATGTAGCCAACGGAGGCTAGTCTGGGCTCTCTCTTTGTGGCCACTCTCAGGACTGCAGTCTCCTGGGTACTTCAGCCCAGTTGTTGGAGAAAATACTAGAGTGTCTTCACTGGTGTAGTCCCAGGTTTGGAGTGGTGCAAGTACAGATGGTCATAGTGTGAACTTGCATCCAGCTGTGCAGAAGAAGCATGCTGCTGCCCCAGCACACACACGTTGGCCCCAAAGTGGATGCCCAGCTGCAGAGATGGAAACTCCGTTGTGAAAACAGACCTCAGAGTTGAATGAGCTGCCCAGTTTTGGTGCTTAATGCAGTAAAATCACTGGGGCTAATTGCAACATGAAACCATACAGTTAGCAGTAAAAAAAGATGGCATCTGGCCTGTACTTTTAAGGCTGCAGCCGGTGGAGCTGGCCTGATTTATCCCTGCTGAGGGTAGGACTTCTAGGTATGTTTATATTAATTTTAGACAGTAGTAGAGACTCCTCTACCAAACTGCACTTTAAATAGGTGTAAAAAGGCCTATCAGTGCTCAGTTTTTAACTGGAAAATAATATAACAGAAAAGGCTTACTAAAAAATGGCCCTTTGATTCAAAGACTGCTCCCGAGAAATTAGTAACTAACTTATCCATGTTTAGGCTTGCAACAAAAGAAACTACACCGCTATGCAAATCATTTCCGCCCAGAATAGGGACTGATTAAAACTGAAAGTCTCAAAACAGCTAGCACTTAATAGAGCTGGGACTGTTCTTTATGTGGTCTTGATCTAATAGTAACTTTTCAAAATAAGCCTTTTCACTTCAGACTCGACAGCTTACCGGTGGTCAGTTCTATCACTTTCTCTGCCAGAGGACATGGATGCAGGAACTGTTGTAGACAGTCTCCAAGATGAAGCTTCTTGCTCCATCTGCCTGCAGTATTTCCAAGACCCCGTGTCTATCCACTGTGGGCACAATTTTTGCCGAGCCTGCATCACTCAGAACTGGGAGGAATCGGATGCAAATTTCTCCTGCCCTCAGTGCAGAGAAACTGCCCAGCAGAAAAACTTCAGGCCAAACAGAGAGTTGGCAAAAATTATTGAAATAGCAAAACAGCTGAGTTTGCAGGCAGCAAGAGGGGCCACAGGAGGAGAGAAAGTGTGTGAGAAACACCAGGAATCTCTGAAACTCTTCTGCGAGGAAGATCACACCCCCATCTGCTTGATTTGCAGGGAGTCTCAGGCTCACAAAGCTCATGCTGTGGTTCCCATAGGGGAAGCTGCTCAGGACTACAAGGTAGGATATTGCAGTTTCTTGTAACAGGCAAGGGGCTGAAGTTACAATTTTGCATGGAATGGGAAATTCACTGTCAACTTCTAGTTTTGCAAGTTATTTTGTCTTTTGTAAGAAGGGTGGAGTTGATCAAATTGATTTAAATCAATTCAAACCATGATTTAAATAAAATAGATTTAAATCATTGTTTAAATCACTGGTCAGAAGCCTTGATTTAATCATTGTGTTCTACAAAAAGTGCATTCTTGTTGTTATTCATTTAATTTCTTGAAACTTTGCACTTTTAGAGAGAGGTAAGGGTAAGGTACTCCATGTACACAAACTTGCAGAGAGACAAGAGGGCTAATGGGTGGGTCTGTTGTCTCTTATCTCCATATATTGCTGTTAACAAGGATTGTTATTTCTGGAGACACAAATCCATAGTTTGAGAACTAAAACTAAGCGTCACAGAGCTGCTTCATGGGATCTTCTAGACTGAGCACTTAATCCCACTGCATAGAGTAGTTTTCTTTAATCTTTACTAATCTATAGAGCAGCCTCTGGGAACTCCCTTAAGAGTGGGCCCCCTTAAGATTGGGTTGATGGCCTGTTGTGACCTATTTATAAAACTTTTCCAAAAAGGTTACATGAATATATTGTCTCAAATAGTATATAATTAGAAGTTATACTCCCTATCCCATTATGAGATACTAGAGCTTTAACATATCTTAAATTAAAACTATCTTTATATAGGTTTTGGGGTTTGTTTTTTTTTAAAGCATCTTAAAAAAAATTTCAAATTTGATTAAATTTAAAAATCGGATTTAAATAAAAAGAAATCCAATTGTTTTCAAATCATTGCTTTTTATCCACCCTGATTGTAAGCTGCCCTGAGCCTTCTTTTTGGAAGGGCAGCATAGAACCAATTCTAATATAATGGCTTTGTCCGTCTGTCTGTCTGTCTGTCTGTCTGTCTGTCAAGCTTTTGGGCAACTGAGTATGCGCTGCTGAGAAGGCCGGCAGCAATTGGCTGTGGAGGCTCTGCCTCCTCAGGCAGGGAGAGAGCCCCCCTCGCCCCCCAACAGTGGATGGGGAGGAAGCAGCCGCGCCAGAGGCTGGAGGGGGAGTGCCAGTTAAAAAAGATGGGCAGGGCGTTGCTGCAGCAGAGCAGGCTGGGCAGAGGGGCATATGCAGATTAATACACAGGCCAGCTGGGCATGAGCTAAGGGACGTCTATCAGTTTGGGGTCCTGGGATCCTGATCCGTAAGAAAGTGAAAGCTGTGGTTTCAAATTTGGCACATTTCTGTCTCCTGGCAGGGAGACAAAAATGGCACCACATTTAAAAACCCAGCTTTTGCAGTTGCTTTTCTGAAGTCAGGAGGGGACCCCTTCCCCAGTGGGGCTGGCGGAGCAGGCAGGGGCCAAGCCAGCTGGCTGGCAATGCAGCGCAGCGCGGTGGGTGGACAGGCCAGGAGTGCTGCCCTGTGCTGCACAGCAAGGCAGGCAGCGGTGCTGGGGGGGAGGGGTAGTGCCCCAAAATTCACCTTATTCCCCTATAACTGCCCCTCCAGTGCTGCCACCCATATGAGAGGCACTGTGTGGTGCTCCCAGTCTGAGCCAGCCCAGTCTTGTACACATGTACGGCTGCAGGGACACAGCCAGGCAGCAGCTCCCTCCCGGTCAGTGCAACAGAGGCTGGTGGGGAGCGAGACAGCCGTGGGGGTGGGGGGGAGGGAAAGGGGCTACCTCAGTGTGATGGAGAGAGGGGAGGTCCTGGGAGGAGAAGGTATGTGGCTGTCTGTGTGCATTCAAGTGTCTGTCTGCGCATGAGTGCGTCTGTGTGCCTCTCTGTGCATGTGTGTGTCTGTGTGCATGCATCTGTGTATCTGTCTGTGCACATCAGGGCATCTGTATGCATCTGCTTCTGTGTGTGTGTGTGTGTGTGTGTGCACTCGCGTGCGGGCATGTGCATACACATGTCTGTTCAAGGCAGGGAGAGTGTGTTTCTGTGTGTCCATGTATGGAGAGATGAGTAGAATGCGTGCCCATCTGTGTCTGTGTGTGCATGTGTCTGTGTACGTGCATCCGTGTTCCTGGCAGGGAGTATATGTTTGTATCTGTCCATGTGCAGTGAGTAAAAGTAGTGTGCGTCTGTCTGAGTGCATGCCTGTGTGTTGGTGTGTTTGTGTACGTTTGCCCATAGCGGGACGGAGGGGCAGGGAGAAGAGGCGGGCATGCTCTTGCTCAACTCCCATGGCGGGAGGGGGCCTCCAATTTTGTGTTTGCCCAGGGCCCCAGTCCACATTAATCCGCCTCTGGGCAAGGGCTGGACACGAGGGGGGGGTGGGGGGTTGCACTCGTCCAGACGTGGGGCAGCGGCAGCACAGAATGAGGGATGCAAGCTCCTTACCAATCCTGGGAAGTGACAGTGGCACAGGGTGGCGGGTGGCAGCGCTCCATCCCCGCCTGCCCACACCCCTCCATCATTCTTGATGGGCAATTGGCTAGTAAATAAATAATTTCCTGGGGTACTCTAGTGATTATACACATAAGCACCTAAAAATTACTGATCTCGTCTCTCAGCCTTATTGATTAATGTCTGGGAGCAAAATTAAGGTGATATGCTAATATTTCTGCTTAAAAACTATGTTCCTCAGAATCTGTGTATTGAGCCAAACTGGCTCAGCTGAAAAAAAGAGACCGAATTCAGCACAGTGATAAACAGATGTTTAACTGTAAATGAAGTTAATGAGTGTTTTCACTTGCTTAAAATAAAATATGTCCCGAAATGCTTTAGTGAGCAAGGAACATACTTGTTTCTTGTCCATGGTATGTATTTAAATGATTCATTTCTTTGTTCAAAAACATCTTGATCTCTCAGAGGCCAGAGTTATGGAGTATAAAAGACCGGGGCTACGCTATCAGTAACTACTGAAAAAATCCAGTGAATTGTTGGAGAGAAGCCTTGTCACAGAATTGTTGTCGATATGGGGACTTTTTTCCCTGCCAAATTTAATCAGTTTTAAAACTTCCATTGCATATTTGCTACCAAATTGTTGTTTGTGGGGCCAAAATTTTCCACCCAGCACAAGCCAAGGGGGAGAACCCCACAGAGGTCAAGACCCACATTATTTCTTTGCTCAGGAAAAGATCCAGGTCCGATTGCAGGTTCTGAAAGATGAGAGAGAGAAGCTCCTGGGAGAAAGACA